TAGCAGTGAAGATGATATCTAGTCTAGTCGAACTAGAAACCAAACATATATAGTTATCTCTAGCTAACTGTCAACTCGAACATATCCGATGATTGTGCCTTTTTGAAAAAATGGTCTTGAGAAATTGAGAGATCATTTCTAAAACTAGTATTCCACTCAGTTAGATACTTTAAGATAACTTTGAATATTGAAGTTAGAATATATAATAAAGTGTGAAAACAGATATTTCAAAAAAATGTAAGCCGTGAGACGAAGAAGCATTTACGAACTGAATGCAGTAACAAACGGAGTGAGCTTGCCTTTGCCATAAACCACAGATCGCAATGATTATAGAGAGCGTGAATCTCCAAAAATATATTGCGATTGCTTGTGTTCGAAAAGTGTATAAAAATAGACGGCCATTACTTCTTGACATCTTGAGACCCAATAGTCATAAAATGTGCGTAATTATTGGTAACATTTATCTTTCTCAACTCGTCTTAGTATCATCATTCATTCGTGCATATATATTTAGTTCCATAATAACAAGTGTTTACCTATACGAGTGTGTAAACAGGGGCCTATAATCTACACTAGCCCGCGTCAATTTGCCGTTACACCTCCATCACAATTTTTTCCACCTGATAACAAGTCACGATGCATACAATAATTTACTAAATCAACATACTCCAAATGAGCCAACACAGGCGCAGCTTGAGTCGCAACAACAACTAGCATGATCCATTTCTACTTCGTCACCATTAGCGGCGCTCTTAATACACATGCGCAGACATTATGATAAATACGTGCACGAGTACGCTCGGTATAACAGGCAGCAACACGATGAAGAAAGCAATCGAAGGCGTCAATGTGCGTAGGCTCTTAAGAGAGCAACGAAGTAGGGTAAGGATCTCGTAGGTGGGTCAGAAAGTGAGGCACGGAGTGAGAGTGAGCATAGCATCTTACAACGGCACCACAACCATCCAATGTTGGCCATCCGACGTTCCGTCGCTCCGTGGAGTGCATGAAGCGCCTTCAAGTGACACTTCAACAATCAAGCATTCGGTTTCATTTTCATACAAAATTGTTTATTTACTTAATTCGATTACCGTATTGCTCTTACTGACGTCCCCTACTCTTCGGCGTCATCATGGTAAACCATCACAAATATATTCAACGACTTTGCTGCTCGTTACCGAATCATGCTCTTTGCTAAGTTTACACAAAAGTTACTGTTGTTACGTGTTGTGTTCTATTGCATATATGTAGCCAAGTAGGTGTAAATTTCTATCGGCAAACCCTGTTGGGAAAATATGAGCAAGCAGTATAGCAGACAGCTTAGTGAAATAATCTCCGAAAACTCAAAAACTTTTCATGCAAAATATCTGTGAAAAATATCTTATTATAAGTAACAAGTAGTAACCAAGTCGGATACTTACTCTTGGGGTTTTTGAACCCTGTAATTAAATAAAACTGATACTTTGACGGTTTGGCTTAGTTGAAGGACCAACAATTGTTAAAGCATTATTACTCAATAACAAGTATTGCCCTGATATAAGACTCCAATGCCGGTATTAGATCGTTCTTGTATATTTCGAAGCCTACACAATAAAAATCTTCGATTTTATAGGAAGATCTTTCCTAGCCTATTACATCGATCTGACAGTTGAAATCAAATCGGTTACCGATCACATACTATCTATTTATTCATCAACTCACTTTCGAGAGTAAAATTTATTTACGGTGAAATCAAAACACTAATATGTATACAAGTATATACTCGTATATACTCGAGCAAACTTTTGCGAAAGCGTTGATTATTTTCATACCGGATGTGTATATTTTCAGGAAGTGTTAGCATTGGTCGCGTTAATTTCGGCTCTAACACAGTCGTGTGTAAAACTAAGTCGATTAAATAGTCAGACTGAAGAAGAAAAAAGAGAAATACGACGAAAACAGACATATTATCCAAAACGTTATGGCTCTAATGACAATTTAGGCAGTAATAACCACGAATTTGTAGTCAATTTGGTGTTTCAGCTTTATTAAGTTTGGTGACTTTAGAGGTGAGCGTTTTCAGAAAGGCATAGATGTCAAACCAACTGGTAAAACATAAAAATATGTGTTTGATATTTCTGTTTAGTATAATTGGCGAATTTTCTTACAAAGACTTAATAACAATTGGTCGATATTTTTTTCAACTGAACGTTGACTGCATTACGTTATTGTCAGGATCAAAATTTTTTACTCCTTTGGACCTTGCTAGTGGACTTTTTTGTCAATGATTTACGCTGCTAAACTATTTACAACTATAAGTTGAAAACCAAAATACATTATTGGCCACTTAAGCTTTAAAAAGTGTTGCAAAATATACTTCATAAAGCTCAGACTAATAAAAGTGTAATTTCATAAATTTGTTTACATTTAATTTAAAATAAAAGTACTGCAGGTATCAACAAAATAAGGTGAATTGAGTGCGCAATTTGACATTTAATTTCGTTGGCAATCTGACAGTTGTTAAACAACAACAACAAAAAGAGAGGACCTACAGAAAAACAGCTGAACGGAAATAACTAATTGAAGTTTACGAAAAACTAAATTTGGTAGAATTGAGAAGAAGAAATATTTAAAATGAAATATGCAAGTTTAATTATTATTTTAAAAATTAGACTTAAAACCAACAAAATTTATAAATTTCTGGTGAAAATTTAATCATAGGATTTTTAGTTATTTTAGTTTTTGAGAGCGAAAATTTGCCATTTCTTCAAATATACAGGATATGACAGCTTTGAGAGAATGAAAGTAGTTACGTTTATCCATCTTATGAAATTCGAGTGATGTTCAAAGTCTAGATTTCAAAGTTAGATATCCAAAAATGCAAAGTGGTGACTCTATCATATCCTATATCTATCCTCTATGACGACTCTTGATACATTGGTTATTAGTACATAACTATACAAAACCGAACTTAAGTGCACACTCTCCAAATTTTTCCTACAGGATTGCTTACCCACCAAAGTACTCGCATGTGTAGGAGTAAACTGTCTTTTGTTTGGACAAGTGCCAAATAGGATTCCTTGGGTGGCAGTTCAAGTCAAATAGAACACCAAATTAATAAGCGTTTTTGTTACTTTTATGAATGAAAATGTATGTAAGTACAAGTATGTATGTACACGTATACATGTATGAGTGCGTGAGTGTATATAAATTGATGTTCAGTTAATTTTTTGTGGCGTTGTGTTTATTATATGATTCAGTTTGCCTGAGATTATCCATTAAATCGATTTCAAGCACTTTCAAGTAGGGTTCATTTTATTTGCTCAGGTTAATTTATGCTGATGATTTTTCGGCGCGCCATCTCATGCTATGCTTAATAATATAGTAATAACAAAATATATGGTTATACACGTAAACGTGTATATTACACTGATTTTGGATACTGTGAACTACTTAAAGCACGCGCCAGTTACAGAAAAAAGTAAACGGAAAGTAATATAAAAATACTGTAGTCAGATGTACATATGTATACACATTTTTTTTATACCAAAAATTCGGAAAAAAATAAAAAATTTCACCAGATATTCGACCTACCTACGATGGGAGGGACATGTCTCCGCCCTGCTAACAACTTCAAATATCTAAGGCTCATTCCAGACAGGAATCTTTCTTGGAAACCCAATATCGAGAAAAGAGCACGGTAGGCACCTGTTGTCCTGTACTACTGCAGAGGGGCCATTGGTAGAAGGTGTGGACTCTCACCAAAGGTAGTTCTTTAACTCTATGAAACCAAGCCAATAACGTTCTACGCAATTTTTGTATTTCGCGAAAACGGGCGGCTCTTATCAGTATTTATGGTGCACTGCGCAAGTTAGTGTGCTAACTATGGCGCTCAATATTTTTCTGGTTATTGCATCAATGGACATAGTTGGAAGATGTATGGCCGCGAAAGCTGTTCTTAGACACTGAAAAGCTGGGTACTTAGATGACTGCGAGCCTAGGTGCTGTGGAGATCTCGCACACTTTGGTCTCATTCCAAAATACTTGGATTACCGGTGTGATGTGGAGGGAAGGAATCTATGAAAGATTGCTACATTTTCGAACACTTTGTATCAAATTAGACAAAGTTATTTCTGGAGCTACTTCTGGCCGTGGGCCTGCTCTCCAAACTCCCGATTGACGCAGAACGCAACTCTGTTCTGTTGTGTTCTATCGACCGAATACACCCAAATCACTTATGTTTTTACATATATAAAAGGAACTGTCAAAGTATCTCAAGTGAGATGTTTTAGGTATATCGCTTCCACATCTACGACCCACTTATTCCCACTTATAATTTCGGCATTGCCAGAATCAAATCCAGTAGCGTAGAATTTTCCCCAGAAAGCGCTTAAACTCATCCTGCATTCCATTTTCAACCCCATTGGAACAATGGAAAAAACCTAAACAGTGTTGGCGTAACAACAACAATAACAAAATTCATTCCTGTCGTTAGTCCCTATAGGAAAATAGCAATGATTTACTGGCTACAAAAAAAAGAACGTCTGAAAAAAAATCAGAAGTCCTCTTGCCTGATGTTTTTATATTTTTAAGTATCATGATTCCATATAATTTATTCTTGTTTAATTAATATTCATATAATAATTTTTATTCATATAATCACCAATTTCATAAAAAGACATTGCGTAAAAATATATTTTCAGTTAAAAAACTCTTCAATATAGTACGTATGTATATAATATTAATTTTATTTAATAATTCTAACTATATATTAAAATTTAAGCCAATGCTTAAGGACGGTCAGTATACAAATTGTAATTATTTAATAAATTTTAATTGTTTTATTAATATATTTTTTATTCAATAAATAATTAACTGGTACGCAACCTTGCAAAAATAATCTCTCACATTCTTAACTATTATATTAATTAAATCTGTTAAATTTTCAATGTTTCAAAAAAAGTTGTTCATTGCTTTTGTTGATTTTAAATAATAAAACTTTTTTATATACTTATTTAAGTGCATTTTTTAATATTGGAAATATAAATTTTGTAAATTAACGCCAAACCTTTTTGCAAGTTTCTGTCTTAAGTCTTTTATATATTTGAAACAGCTTATAATACAGGTGATTGAAAATAAATAATATGTAATTATTAAAATTCCATTTTGTGCAAACGTATTCTGTGCGCTTTTAGGCCGTAAATATGACCAAAAGCCTTGCCACAATCTGCACAAGTATGCACTTTATGCTCAATATGTTTCGCTTCAATGTGACGATTTAAGGTGGACTGATTTGTGAAACGCATAGGACAGCGATCGCATAGAAACGGTTTCTTCGCTGGATCATGCACATAGGAATGTCGCGTGAGATGTGATTGTTTTGGAAATCCTTTACCACATTTGGTGCAGATGAATTTCGGTTGGCGTGGCACACAATCGTGTAAATATTTCACATGCTCATGTAGAAAACGCTCCTCCACATATGCTTCAGGGCATTGTGTACATTTGAATATACGCATTGAATCGTCTTTATGTGTTTGAGACAAATGAGTACGAAAATACTTTGCATAGGCAGTGACAAAGTCACATTGTTCGCATTTGAATTGATAATTGTAGCGTTTAGGTGGACGGCCTTTTTTTCGTCTAATGATAGCTGGTTTGTCGAAACATTCAGCAGCAATGGTCCCACCCTCATCGTCAAGCAATTCAATATCATCCTTAAAGCCTGAATCTTGCTCGCATAATACTATATTACTTTTAACAATTTTGACATCCAATGCTGTAATTCTTGTAAAGTTTCCATTTTCATAATCAAACTCGCTACAGTGCAACATTTTAGTTTTGTAATGCCTATAAGAAAAACAAAAAAAAACGTTCACTTCGTAAATACTATTAATATACTATGTTAGGTTCAGGGTGTAAGGAAATTATTTTCAAATAGTTAATACTTTCAAGCTTTATGTTAGTAGAAATGTTATTAAATTTACCAATTTTCTTACTAAGAACATGAAAAGCGTGTTCGTACTTGGTATGCATATACATATACCCCAATATGGTATGCGTATATATATTGCTAGTCAAGCAATAGTTTGATGGTATTTTTCTAATTAGCATATGTACAGGTGAAATTCAACAAGTGGTTAAATTTTCGTGTATAAATATGGTCAAATGCTACCACACCCAAATATTAATTGTACTTACTGTTGAAAAATATTATTTCTACTCGAGCTCATGAAAAAGCATTATATTTCTTGGCTAAATTAAAAATTAATGATAAAAGAAATTACCTTCAATTTTACAATCTAAAATTACCTGTTGCTCGTTTGATTATTCAGGAAATTGTTAATTATATACGCCCGATACTCAATACCTTGCTTTCTACAAACACTATTTCTTTCTGACCCATTGAATATGAAGTTTTGTTTTATGTATCAATATATAAAAAAAAAATCATTCAATGGTTTCACAGCTTCTTAAATTGTTTACAAAATATTAATGGAACTTCTTCGCCCAGAGCACGTATATTGTAATACGTTCTCTGGCGCTTGTATTTATTAGAAAAGTGCGGCCAAATCAGCGGCATATTGAGCTGCCACTTATTAAAGCGGCTTTAACAATCTACTTACAGATAAATTCTTTAAATTACTTCATAATATAGTTTTGAACTTTAAACTTATATTTTTGTAATGTAAATTTTTTTTTGTTTTAATTTGTAAAACTTTTTTCTTAATTTTAAAACTTCTATTATTATACGTATATTTTACGTTCTCTGCTCGTAGATCTGATAGCAAATAAATTTCAATTAAACTAAAATGTGGCAAGCAGGCGCCAAGAAGGATGAGCACCAGCCACGCTTTTTTATTGAAATGAATTTTTCGAAAATAATTGTGTCCAAAATGAAAGTGTGCAAGTTGTGTAAAAGTAAATCCGATGCTGTATTTGAGCCCAATGAACATTTACTGGGCACTCAAATTTCTGATATTATAAAATTTATATTTAGTGATAACGTAAGTGCAGTGCGATAATTGTTTGAATTCATAGCTAGCCTCATTTTCTTACAGTCGTTGGAGTTCCCACCAAAATTTTACATATGTTCCGCATGTGCTGCGTCGCTGGTACAAACTAAAATTGTTCTAAAGCGGCTATCGGAGGCTTTACCACATAGCAGAAATGCGGAAAAAGTAAACATATCCAACAATAAAAACGATGATAGCGATGAGGCGGCTAATGAGAAGAATAGTATAAATGAAAGTAGCAAAGTGTCGGCAAATGAAAAATTTCTACAGGATTGGATATTTCGTTGTACTCATTGCGAGTACACTACCAAAAAGCCTAAATTGTACAAAACTCATTTAACCACTAAGCATGAATTAAATAATCCACGCATTTACCAGTGTATGTATTGCTCAGAATCATATCAACGCATAAATGCCATACAAAATCACATCGGCAGCATACATGAAAATAAACCACGTGAAAAACGACAACGACGAAAGACAATTGCATTTGATTCGCCAAGTGTATTAAGCAGCACAACCATAAGTAAACAGGTGGATAATAACACTTCACTTATTAATGTAAACAATGAAACTAATGTTGCTAAGAAAAATAATAATAGTTATCAAGCAGATGGTATCAACGATTATGAATTTACATGTGCTCACTGTGTATATAAAAGCATTCATGCAAAACATTTTAAGCGGCACTTATCAGTTAAACACAATGATGAAGACATAAGAATTTATAAGTGCAGGCGATGTCCTAGTACATATTGCCGGCTATTTGCTTTGAATAACCATATCGCTTACGAACATGAAAATAAACCTAAACCACAACGCCAAAAGTCTGTAGCTTTAGAACAAAGCATATTAGCCAAAGACGAGTTGATTAAACCTAAAGAAGAAATTTTGAGTGATAATGAGGACCTAAGATGTGAACATTGTCTTTATCAAGCGCGTGACTCAAAAACGCTTAGAAATCATATGATAACATTGCATAAAACTAATAACCTAACTCAAAATGATTATTTTCCGGAGATCCTAAACGACAACATTAATCAAACAGACAACAATTATAAAAATAATCCCTATTCGGAGAGCATATACGAAAATCAACTAGAACAGCAAGAAGATCATCTATTCCAAGCACCTTTTAAAAAACCACGTAATCAACTAAGTTCGAGCGAAATATCATCTTCAGAATGGGTTTTTCAATGCATACGTTGTAATTTTGGATGCGCTAAAAAGAAATTATTCAAAGCGCATTTAATTAATGAACATGGTATATATAATAGCGATGTATACAAGTGCCCTAACTGTTCGTCAACATACGAACGTTATAGCTCGTTGCAGAATCATATGGCAATGAGTCATAGCGTTGATTTGACAGGTATAGAATCTGATTCTAGTCAAGATCACGTTGCAAAGAAACAAAAACTCAATGGAATTGCGAGTGGTACAGAAAAACATCCACTTGAAGACAGCAGTCAGGAGCAAACACCGTCTAAAAAACGTAAAATTGAAAGAGAAAAAAGTAAAGAATCTTGTGTGGTATGTGACAAACATTTTTCCACGGTGGACAAGTTGCGCGCTCATATGGACAAACATCATGGCGGTGACGAAATCAAAAAGTGCCCTAATTGTGATGCACAATTCCGTTCGTTGGAAAAATATGAGGCACATCTGTTTAGCGAGAAATGTCTCAACACTAAGTTAGCCTGTCAATATCCTGGCTGTCCGAAACGTTTTAGTAGACCATCAAAGATGCAACAACATATGCGTGAGAAACATCCCGATTTAATAGACTAACGTAGTAAGAAGTTGTTTGTTGTCTTTTAATATAATTTGTTTTTAATATTTTCAACACGATTACCCATTCCGCATGCTGAGTGGTTTACCTAGTGTCAATGGTACGGTACTACCAAATTATATATATATCATAAAACTAGCAATATTAAATTCTTACAAAGAGTGTAATCGTACGTAAATCAGCATATATTTGTATGTACGCATATATTCGTATTGAACTGAAAATAAAATTAAATCATTAGCAATTTAAATCGAATTGATTTTATTTTACGGTAAATGATATTTGAATTACATATTTTTAAACCATGATATACATATGTATGTATATATCATAAATAATCATAATTAAAGTAGGCTCATGAAAAAACCCAATATATTTTCACTTAATAAACTACACTAAATACACATTTTCAATTTACACAAACATAAACTTGGCTGTAATATTAAAAGAGCAAAAATGTTAACGAATTCCCACTATATATCCCTCTTAAGTATTCAAATATTTTCGAAACAAATTAGGAAAAAAAGATGTCAACCAAAAAGTTCCTTTTTTTATCTCTACAAACTATATTTTAAAGGTCATGGATAAAGGGAAAACTTTAATAATATTGCAGTTTTTCTTTTTAAGAAAAGTTAGAGACGTCAGACGTCTCTCCTATTTCATTATTATGCTTTGCTATGTATTTCCGCTTGTGCGCATTTCATAACCTCTAAGGCACCCTTTTTAATCAATTCCTCAGCCAATAGTCGGCCCAAGGCATCACTACGTATATACAATTCACGATTGTAACATGCATGCTGATACAAACCACAATATAGATTATCTACATCTTCAATCAGCACTGGAACCGACTTAGGTTGTGGCTTCTCCTCGTCGGCATAGTCGAACATTTTTACAGTTTTCTGTAGGAACGGACACTTGCCCGCTGCCGCGTCTGGCGCACTGCTTGAGAATTCATTATCATTCGCAGTGCTGTGCATGTTGGCGAACGGACATTTTGAGGTAGACGGTACGGCCGCAACGACAACATTATCAGTTTCATCGTTCGGTTTTTGTAGCAGCTCATTGGTAACGGGGCATTTCCCCGCTGTAGCCAATGTAATCTTTTCTTCTTTACTTACAAATGGGCATTCGCCCATAAAATCCTGCCCCACATTCATTTTTAAGGGGCAATGCGGATTGTTTAAATTCGAGTCGCCGCCAGCGCGAAAATCCACATTTACACTAACATTTCCATTATCATTGCCGTTTTCTACACTGTTTATCATTTCTATTTTGTGTAAATCAGCGCTAATGACAGGGCAATGTTTTGCTAAGCTTATGTGTTTTTCAATGATATCGCCCATGGTGTAGGCGGCTGTAAGCTTTTCCATTTCTGCATCGTCATTTATCACTGGTGGACTGTGACGTTGTTCGGGACTACTTGACTCGTTGCTTCGGCGTCGTTTAGTAGGCGGTTGATCGCTGCTATCATCATCAGTGTCTTCAACTAAATTTGCATTGTCATCGTTAGCAGCCTTTTTCACTTCCTCTTTGGCGAAGGTGCAGGCTTTCTTGTCGCGTATTTCGGTAGCCCCATCCAAACTCCAGACGGCGCCCACCAATGACAACGCGCTGTTACAGTTATTTTGATTTGTTTCAGTTAAATCACCATCTAAATTACTCCAAACTGCTACGGGGGCACTGCAGCCTCCACCTAAAGTTTTGAGAAAGCTACGCTCGGCTAATATGCGACAGGTTGTTGACAGGCACATTAAACTTTGCAACATTGAGAGCACTTCCTCATCGTTGGCACGGCATTCAACAGCCAAGGCACCTTGACCGACAGCATAGAGCAAATCAGTCGGTTCTAGCACCTGACTGATGCGCTGCTCCCAACCCATGCGTACAAGACCAGCTTGTGCGAGTATTATGCCAGCGAATTTCGAATTAGCGGCATCTAATTTCGCAAGACGTGTATTCAGATTACCGCGTATATCGCAAACGGTTAGATTAGGATATTGCCGACGGATTTGAGCTGTGCGCCGTAGCGAAGAAGTGCCTGTAACATAAGCAATAAAAATTAACCGTTTACTTAAAAACAAATAGTCTTTACCCACCTATCACACAACCCTTTGGTAATGTTTCGATAGTGAGACCCTTGTATTCCTCACGTAGCACCAAAGCATCCCTAGCGTCTTCACGCTCCAGTACGGCACCAATCGCCATACCAGTTGGTAGCGCGGTGGGCAGATCTTTGAGCGAATGTACAACAAAATCTACACCGCCGTTGCGTAATGCGTCTTCGAGATCTCGTGTGAAAAGGCTTTTCTCGCCTATTTTTGGCAGTGATATGTTGAGCACACGATCGCCTATCGTTGACATGGTATCTATATATATTATAGAAAATAGACTTAGGTTTGATAAGCGCAGAAATTAAAATCTTACATTATACAACAAAGTTGCTGTGTCATAGTAACAAATATAACAAGTATGATGTAAACAAAATAAAATACAACAACAAGTTTTAATAATTGGAGACATCAATGCGAACGCTTGCGAAGATAACCTTATCTTACCAATCAAAAATATGCCTTGCCACTCGCTGCTTAATACCTAAAATACCCCCAACAGTAAAACTTTTACACTATTGTAAGCAAAACTGAAAAATATCACATATTTTTGGAAGTTTACAAAAAACATTATATTTCTCTATGGGGTTTTGTCCACTTGCTAGTCAGAAAAACGCGCTTTTGATTTTTGAATTTTACTTTGGAAGAGGCATCTTATTTAATAAATAAGTAAAAAACAAAAATGCAAATTTACAGAATTTAATGTACTTTAATAATCAACAATTATTTTTGAAAAACAAAAATTTTTTTTTGCTTAAAATTATCTCAAATCCAACAATGTATTATGTTGATTAAAGTTCTAATTTCCAACGCTGCTTTAATTATATTGTATTAATAAGAAAATATAAGAAAAACCGATAAAATCGCAAGCATATCGTGAGCAATAACTCACTTGCTTTGTCTCAGTATAAAGAACTTTTGATATTTACATACAAATGTGCATATAAATTAATGATAAGCAGATTTCCTGCATATACTCACGTACGTACATATAGATAGTAAGTATGTACGTTCGATACAATACCTTTAGCAGTTATACATATACATACATACATACATACTCACACATGAACATCCGTAAATTTTAAAAAATTCAACAAACAAATATGTAAATACCAATTCATCAAAAAAAAAATGGAATTAACAATTACTTACGGATCTCGAATTTCTTTTTGGGATAGAGTTTTTGTAAACGTGCAATGACATGTTTCGTTTGAATCAGCGCTAACTGAAATTATAAGAAAACAATGAAAATTAAGTTAAATCGTTTGTTTAATTTCATAGAAAACGAACGTATAATCAGATATATTTTAGAAAATAACATAGAAAAATGGTAGCGTTTGTTGGATGCGAAATAAAAAAAAGTCGAAACAGCAAAAAAGTCTCAAATTTCTTTACATTTTAAGTTCACAATACCATTGATTGAGCTACTCATCAAATTTTTAGAATAAAGACATTTCATTTAAATTATCGAAGTCAAATGCAAATCTTATCATTCTGAGTTGTTTGAAATTCTGATTTGATATTCATTATTCATCGTCAAACCGACAGTTTTGACAACACGTGTAATAGTTACAGATGCCCAATATAGCATTACTGGCAGATAGTGTATTTTACTTATACCATTGTATATATGTAAGTAAATACTTATGTACATATATGTACTTACAATGTATGTAAGAAAAATGCGCGAGCAAATTCAAAACTGAATAATGCTATTCATTGCGCTACTTTAATGACTTCCATTTCCAAAATATGTACAAACGGACAAATACATATTATAGTATAAGTATAAAAAAATTCAAATACAATCCATAATTTTTATGTATGAAGCACAAATACAAAATAAGTAACTTTAAAGCAATATTTTTTGCTCGATTCCACTGCCACAAAATCGTTCCCGCAGTGCTTGTGCATTTGTGCATAGCATTGTGGCGAGTTTATAAGCATACTGTTGGAATCTCATGTGCGTGATTGTCGCCGCTCTTTCTTGTGTTGTGAGTTGCGCGATTGTATAACTTAACCAAAAATTAAGCACGACAACCAATATCGCAGCACTCGCTTCACGTTCCCTCTGCTTCCAAACAACAAACAACTTTACCACTCATTTCATCCATATGCTTTGCTTCATGTACTTATTAAAAATAAAAAACAAAAACTACATTCACGAAATTCATTAATGTTTCTTATTTGTTTCTTTTGCTAGGTGATTATAACCTTCACTTCCACACAGCTCTACGGTAATTTCGACTTACTTCACTTTTTCTGGAGCCCACACGTATAGTCTTATCCTTATCGTTTGTCATCTTTGTACGATATGAAATGCAGTAGCGAGTTTTTGGATATTTATTGTTATTAAAAGTGAAAGTCTTGATAGATATTTATTTGCCAATGACCTTCGCCCGAGGTGCTTGTTTTATTGTCATTAATATTGAATGAAATTGTACATGCTAAGCTCAATGTTCAAAGAATACACGCACTCGAAGTTATCCGCGATTTACACTTAAATGCCACAGTAAAAAATGTACTTCTATATTGTAATAAAACCGCTCCAACACAACAGCTCCAATCCAATCGGTCATTCAAAGTAATCCAAACCGCATCCGCCAACCGATCTGAATGAAGTAGTTGGCATGCGACATGTTGAGAGAACAATTTTGATTACGAAAATGTTATCAGGTGTTTTACACGAGTTGCGGGAGGGTGATGGGGCATTAAGCTGCAACTGAGCTCCAAACTATAAGGTTGCATTTTGTACAGCATTGCCAACTAAATTATGTGTGTGAGTTGCAAGGTACACATTTTGCACAATTGGCTGGATATCGAAAATAATACCGATACGAATTTTTTTAATTTATATAAATTACAATTATGATTTTATGAGCATTAACTTCAAATCATAAAAAATAGTTGAGGATTTTTTCTAATAAAGAACGTTATCATACCTCTCAGATAGACATATACGAACAGCGAACTAGCGATATCTCTTTATCGATTTTAAAACAAGGAACACTATCTGTGAGGATAGCATCAGCTGTTTAACATCTCCATTGTTTACAATTTCCACTGATAAATTAAACCTGAGAATGTAGATTACATTCTCTGCTAAAACGATACACCGAAGTTCCTAATTCGTATTTATCAAAAATGTTTGTCTAAAGTTCAAGCAACTGCAGTTGTGCCAGTTTTGGTAACATAAACGTGATGTTTTTGGTACAACAATTGTTACTTTAAATTAAAAGAACTTTTGGACAAATTTGTAACATAAAAATATTTTTTAGTTTTGGAACCGGTCATCATCCAGAAATGTTACTCCCACAGCGAAGCGAACGCGCGAAGCTCTTGGGGAAGATTTTGTGCGAAAACTGGACGCATTACACGATGACGCTTTGCGCACTGGTCTAGTAACAACATCGGATTTACAAGAAGCGTATAGAAAATCTCGAGATGCAGATCTTAATCCGAATAGAATTAATTTGTGGTATGTGCTAGGCATATTGGCGTTCATAATGGTAGTAACGCCTATATTTTATGAAATAATTACGTTTCTTTTGGGAGTACGTTGCTTTTTACCCAATAATTATATTGTGTCGGAGGCAACAAGACCTATAAGCGACTGTGACTTCTGCAGGTGGTATAATATATGATAATTAAAAATTATAGCTAATGTGAAAAATTACCCAAATTTCAGAGATGTATCAGGACCAAAGATACTACAAAATCTTACGCGTGAAGAGTTTGCACCTTACGCATATTCCTCTCAGCCAATTATAATCAAAAATGCTGTCGCACACTGGAAAGCTAAGCAACTTTTAAATTTCGATTATCTTAAAGGCTTATATGAACGTATACCCGGTGCAATGGACGAGAGCTGTCCATTTCTTCATTTTCGTTCAGATTTCAAATCGTTGCATGATGTCTTTGCAATGCCTAACGCACGTTCTAATTTAAGCATAGGTGAAACGCCGTGGTATGTTGGTTGGAGCAATTGCCATCCAGTGGTATTGGAAGAATTACGGAAACTCTATCCGCGTCCACATTTTTTACCAGTTGATGCTGAAATGCCAAATACGGATTATATATTTATTGGCTATGAACAAGGCGATTTTATGCATGTGCGTTGTGTTTTTACCAATTTAGCTCTCTAATTAACATAATTTTTTAGTTGGATTATATTCCGCGTCTTGTTTGGCAAGCTCAGTTGCAAGGCAACAAAAGTTGGATTGTAGCACCAACTCCAGAATGTGATCACGTTTGTCAATCGTTTTCCTTCTATGTAGAACCTGGTGATGCAGGTGCGTTATATTTAATCATCGACTAAAAACTATAAGTTAATTTATCTCGTTATTTAAAGTATTGGTTGATACCAGAATTTGGTACCATGGCAGTTCTATTCCTAACAAAGGACAATTCGCACTCACCATACAATCGGAGTACGGTTAAGCAACAATATTCACTCGTAAGATTGCATTTAACGCAATATTTGTTTAGCTATAAGTATTTTACAATAGTAATTTTAAATAACACCACGTAATTAACGAAACAAATATTTTAGTCAAAAATAAATTTTTAGTAAATATAGGGTGTTTTTTTAGAGGCATAGAACTTTAAATTGCAATAAAACATCGATGGATTATTCGATTGACATGCATTTTATATATCCGAAAGATTATCTTGTGGCATTACATTTTAAATATTACTTCTCGCATATGACAGCCACGGCTGGCTCGGATGTAGTCCAATCTAAATTTTCGATGACTTTTTCCAACATTTGTGACTGTATATCGGCAATAACACGGCGAATGTTGTCTTCCAAATGGTTAAACGAATGTGTCACCAAACGTGTCTTTCAATAAATCTATTGTGGCACCAGCTGTGTGACATATTGCGCCGTCTTGTTGGAACCACAGCTCCTGAACATCATGGTTGTTCAATTCAGGAATAAAAAAGCTAGTAATACCGATCACCATTGATCCGTAACGTTCTGGCCATCATCGTTTTTGAAGAAGTACGGACCAATGCTTCCACCAGCCCATTAAGCGCACCAAACAGCCAGTTTTTCTGGATGTAACGGGTTTTCGACATACACTTGAGGATTAGCTTCACTCCAAATGCGGCAGTTTTGTTTGTTGACGTAGCCTTTCAGCCAGAAGTGCGCTTCATCGCTAAACAAAATTCGCTTATGAAAATCGGGAACAAGGCCAATCTCTTTTTGGGCCCATTCGACGAATCTACGCCTTTCTTAATGGTCGTTTGGCTTTAATTCTTGCACGAGTTGGATTTTGTAAGCACGCAAACCAAGATCCTTCCATAAAGTGGATGGACACAGATCCACTTCCTGTGCTCGATGGCGGATGGACTCATTCGGGTCTTCCTCAATGCTACGCTCTACAGCAGCACTAGCTGCTTCTGTACGCACCGTGCGACTTCTCTGAGGAAACGAGTTATCAATAAGAGAAAACTTGGTGCGAAAGCGGTCCATTGTTAATTGAATTAACTGCTCTGATGGACGATTTTGTCGACGATAAAATGAACGTAGTGCGCGATACGTATTCCGCACAGATCCATTATTTTCGAAATAAAATTGCACTATTTGCAAGCGTTGTTCAGGCGTGAGTCTATTCATGACATTGTATAAATCTGGCTTATACAATGAATCATGACGAATTGCCAAACAAAACTGATAATAAATCACTTTACAGCTGTTAAATCGGTCGCCATCTTGAACAGTAATGGCAACTTAAAGTTCAATACCTCGAAAAAACACCCTGTATATGCTAAACCAATTATCTTAAACTAACGTTAAATAATTCAATTTTAAACTGGCATAAAAGTGGGCAACTCTAATGTTCGTTGATCTCAATCCCCTATTTTACTTCAACTATTGTGAATTACACCAGAAAGTGTCACATATTTAAATATTCAATTAAAATATGAAAATGTCTTTGCAAAGTGTTGATTTTTCACAAATCTCTAAACACATATATAAAAATCATAATGAGCACGAAAGGAATATAAAAGAGTATAGGGTAAAAACTTCAATTATTAATCTGTCGGGGTTTTATGAAAACTATCAGCGTGAAGTTAAAGAAATTAATTCTGAAATTACGCCCTCCAAGGACAATCCTACAGTAGCGGACTTCGCAGATATATTTAAAGCATTTGAAGAGTATCCCTCCAATTTACACAAGCCTAAACGCCTTCCAACAAAAGAACAGCAACAGCGTATGAATTGTACAATGGCAAGAGACATGACCATAATGGTTAACACACGTGAACAATCACCATGTAGTACTTCACTACAAAATATAATGCGTACTGCAGCGGAACTACCTTCAGCCTCAGAGATCTATAATGACTTTAAGAAATTTCAACAGAAACTTATACAATTTCTAAACGAAACACAGCAACAAGACGTAAGCGCTCTGTCCTATGAAAAGAAATTGGACCAATTATGTGCATTCGGGAAGCAGTTGGAAAAACTATGTCCAACTGTAAACGATACTAAGCAAGCCTTCACACATGAGGAGGAAAGAAAGTTACAATCTATACTTGCTAATCTAGAAGAGCTTAATTATATACGTGAAAATCAAGAAATATTTACAAATGGCGCGCCAACAGTAAATGCACAGTCAGCGCGCACAGATAGTTTCATGAATTTAATCACATATTTATTAAACACAGTTTCTAATATGTAAACACAATTTAAAATATAAAATGCACAGATAAATTATTGATATGCGACTTTTTAATGAAAAAAAAAATATTCACTCTATATTTCATATACTTCAGAAGTATTAACGTCATCATCAGATTCCTCATGTAGAACCGTTTTTATTTGCGTAAGTGTATCGCCTATAGCGAGCAATTTTCTAACGCAACTACTTAGGTACTCAGCACGTTGATGACTCTGCTCTAAATACTGTTCAAACTGGTCACTGTTTTGACTCAAACCGGCTGCGAGAGTTTGCATGTTGGCGCTAAACATCTGCGGTGCATTTTCAATTATTTTAGCCAAAGTATGTACCGTTTCCTTTTTACAAGAATATGTTTTGTTTGTGGAATTATTAATATTAGTGTTGGCGTTGTTTGTGCTACCGCGCGTAGATTCAATTTGCAGCAATATATTATTTGACTTATCAATGATGTCTGAAATTTCATTCGACTGCTGAGACATAGATTGCCGACTGATTGCTAAAAAATGGTAAATATGTTATAAAAATAATTACGATAATGCAAATATTAAGTTACCTAATTCTGTTAGCATTTCGTCGATCAAGCAAGATTTCCACTTATTCATTTTTATGTATTTGCGATAATTTGAAAAACCAAACTAAATTCTTCTTCTTGTTGTTACCTAATAGTCACAATAACGTACACTATGCTCATACGTCTTTATATTTGTAGGAGACAAATTGAAATTTGAATATCTAACAAAGTTATGCTTCTTCTATAAAAATAATTTTATTTCGTTTTCGCTCATTTCAATTAATATAAGATTGATGAGAAGTGCTCCACATAGCATTGCTGCAGTCCTCATTGATATTAATATATCATTTGAGAAGCAAAATAATTCGTCTATCTTAAGTTTTTTTTTTTGTTTGTATTTGGTTTAACAGTAAATGTAAATTACACTCATTTCATGTGTTTTTAAACAAATTACATTTCACTTGCGTGCATTACTATCCTTTATAGAACTAATCATTTTAATGGCTTAATCGTAGATGTCCTCCTTGTCTGCAACATATTTTATGATGTCAGCAGGCTTCAGTAATTTTTCGGCATCTGAATCGGGAATTTCAAAACCGAACTCATCTTCCATGGCCATAATTACTTCCACATGATCCAATGAGTCGAGACCAAGATCATTAATGAAATGAGAGTCAACGCTGAGCTGTTGAATGAAAATATATGAATCATATAGTATAAAAAACTTGTTTTCGGTTCAATCAAATAGTATTGGCAATAACAATTGATAAACACCATGATTAAAAATTAATTATAACTTTTATATATTGATTATTTTACAATTAAAAAAAAAACCAATTACCTTGCTGGGGTCGATCTTGTCATACAGTTTCAGTACGAGTAAGACGCGTTCGCCTATCAATTTAAGAGTAAGTGGCGGCTTTGCAGAATAGTTTCGCACAAATTGTGATTGCCATACGGAATTGTTCTAATGAACCGAAAACAAGAACAAAACAAAAAAAAAACAAAAGGTTAGTTCTTTCTCCAAACGCTTTTATTACCTTATCAGCAGTCACTTTGTCATAGCTTGCGACTACTTTCAAAACGCGATCTTGAATTTCCTCCAAACTGCGTTTAGCTGATGCATAAGTGCGCACTTTAAAGGACTTTTTGTAATATTGCTGCTAAATATGTGTAGAACGAAATGAAAAAGATATTCGTTTGTTTTTAATTAAAGCAAATTGATCGTTTAAATTAAGATGAGCTCGTACAAATTTGACTGCAGCCTCTGTTTAATTTAAAATAATTACTATGTATATATATACAGATATGTAGCTGTACCAAAATTTAATACTATATTACTTTCCAATGATTTTTTATTTTGATTATAGCAGCATCCAAAACCATTTTTGAGGTTAAGAATATGTATTGGTTGAACGCATTCTTTGATAACACTTTTGTACAATATCTTAATGATATCCTTCTACCTCGGTCCACTCACCTGATTTAACAAAACGTTTACGGCAGGTGAATTGCTGCTGATCCTGTGCATCAAACGCATTTGTGGCTGGGCAGTGGACGAAACTGCGGCGGTTACACGCAGTGCTTTTGCAGCAAAGCGGCTGCCGTTACGAACAGCTTGCGTTAATGACATCGTATATAAACTCCGACCTGTTAACAATGAATATAGTTTTTGATTATATTTGTAAATGATTTGGCAGTAAAATCGTATTTAGTGTGTAAAAAAATAGTAAAATTCAGCACTGACCCCTTGGGAAGAATATTATGTAAAAACGTCAGGAGCTATGTCAAATTGCGGCAATGAAAAATACGTGAATAAACAAACTGTCAAAAAATAAGGGGAAACATTCACAATGGAAGTGAAAAGAAAACAAAGAAATATTTTACTAACAGCATTACTAGACTATATAGTTTTCTTAAAAATATATTTTTAACAACTATAAATTTTGTTGAATACAACATGATGTTGTTCACGATAAGCAATTTTTAAATGCTTGTTTGTGTAAAGCGATTGATAAATGTAAGTGAAGTGAAAGATGCCTGCTCTTTCCTCCCTACGGAGAGATCCCAGATTACCTTGTTCGACTTCATTTTGAGGCCCCTGACCTCTCCTTTACTGATCCATAGGTCCGTGAGCCCCTCCAGAAGCTCCTGAGTGGAGGGTAGCGCCCCCCCTATTGCTCGCCCGCCTTCTCGATAGGGACCTTCACCGTTGTCTAAGCAGTTGCCGCCTGCTTCGACGTACTTGCGCCGGGTTGAGTCGCAACCTCATCCAACTGCCTTATTTTTCCTGCATCACTCTCGGTGGTAGTTTTAGGCTTAAATGGCCTCTGGACCACCGAGCTGAACCTGTAGTTCAGGCGGAAGCTCACCCTCCGGACGAATTTATACGATTCGTCGTTTATGCAGAGGTTGAGCCTCCACGCAGAATCCTCGGCCTTGCTGCTGACCACCCGCCCGGCCGATGTGCTGAGGCCCTCGTTTTGGTTCCGGATGAGCCCGAAAGCAAACTCGTACGGCTTGCCTGCGCACCTGGGTAGGAATACCGTCATGCTATGCATGGGCGGAATTTCTACCCCCTTCTTTGCGCAAAGGATGGGGCCATTCCAGCTTGGGAGCGGTCTCCCTCAGCCAAAAAGCCGACCTCTCATCCTTGCAGTCAACCTGCAGCATGCCTCTTTTGAAATAAACCCCGTGGAAGGAGGCTTTGTATCCAGACCCTCTGAACACCTCCTCCATGAGTAGGTCTTGGAGCACGGTGAGCTCCTCCGACCCCAGCGTCTCCCCCGGGTAGTTCAGCGGCAGCACAGCCATACGAATGCCTTTGAGGGCATCCGCATACCTGCGCTGTTCCACCACTGCCCGAGGGGGGTTTGGGGCGGAGTGGTGACCACCGGTCGCCTGTGCGATGTTGCCCCTCTGCCGCTTGGTGTTGGGCGGCTCCTGCAGCGTTAGCTGTCTGCTTTTCCGCTTCGCAGCTTGGGTGGTCGAGGGAGCTGCCTTTTCGCAACCTCGCCCTGCGGGCTGAGTTTTTCGGCATCCTCCGGAGTTCTTCCCTCCTGGAAGTGTCTCAAGTACCACTTCAGGCTGGTACCGCTCATGCCTTTTCTCCTGAGATCATCCTGTCCTCCAGAACATCCACTTGGTGGTAGGGGGGTAGTCTCCCTCCCCTCTTCCTTCTACGTTTGCGAGCCCCACCGGTGGACACCCGTTGCACGAGGGCATGTCCTCATCGTCGTCCCTGGCATGCTCCTCGAACAACGCACACTCCTCTGGCGAAAGGGCGTCCAGGAAGTTGAACTTGCGCTTAGCCCCCGATTCGCCCTTACCTGCACCGTTGCTTTTGTTGCTATCCTTGTCCAAGTTCGTTCGCTGTTGTTGCTGTTGTGTTTGTTGTTTGTTGCCTCTTTATCTTGTTCGTACAACTTTTGTAAAGGGGAACAAAGAGTCCGTCGCGCTAGAGCCCCATAATGCGGCGTAAGGCCACCATTACTTCTCAATGCGGCCCGATGTTTGGAAGGCTCCGTTAGACTACAGCCGAATTAACCTTTTGGCTGCAAATCATCCAATGGGCATGGAAGTCGCATAACACCCTGGATTAGGAGGTGGCAGCTCTTGGTTTTCGCACGCATGTGTCTTCTGACAACCTGTGTGAGAGGTGCTACGCAGCACATCTCACCCTGGTTGGGAGATGCCGAGAATGCCTTGCGACCTAAGCCCCTGCACCACCGCAAGGTGCCTGCTATTCGCAGAGGGTATTATAGATCCCCCTTTAATTTTTAATCTAAGCTAAACTTTGGAATACTTGGCAGTAGCTTAGAAAAGTGAGAATACATCCATGCTAGTGAAAAAAAAATTAATTAGTTACTTTCTTACTTTCAGTTGTAACTAAATTAAATTTAAACGCCATAAACTGAAGCATACCATTGAAAGAGAGTCAGTAAACTTCTAGGTATAATATGTCCTTAGTGAACCATAGCCGAAATCGGAAAATAATTTAAGTTGATGGTGATTGATTTGTTACTGCAGTCTCGTCTCATGGAATAAATACCCAACAATATCGGCAGAGCTATAATATTTCTAGGTGCTTGTAAATCGAAGGCAACCTCGGTTTTTTATCCGAAAAGGAAATATACACATGCGAGTACGTATACGAGTATAAGCCAATTTCAGAAATTAGATTTTCAATTTTTAATTCCAATTATTCGATCAAAAATGAAATTCTAAATTTTTGAATCCAATTTTTAGGATAAATAGTTTTTTTATTCCGGTATATGCGATTAACATATTTTTTTAATCCTGTATTTGGGACTAAAAATTTAAAAATTATTTTTAGTTCAGATTTTTGGAATTACAAACAAACAAACAAAAAAAAAACAAAATTAATGTCAAAATAATGAAAAATTAATTCAATTATTTTGTAATGGATTATTCGCAACTCTGGCCACTTTATATAAACTGATGTCCTTTACGGGTACATGAACCATACTGTCTTGAAAAGAGGATATTTGAGAAATAGTTAGTGGGTAGTGCTGTCAAGATTATAGTTCAATATTTCTAAAACATGGATGTCCTTGGTATGTGGTCCCGAGCACAGCACAACATCGTCAAAGTAATATACATATGTATGTATGTATAAGTAAGATAAAACAACAACTAAATGATTGAAAAAAACTTTACATTTCTTTTTTTGTTTGTCCTCCATTTAACAGTTCTTTTTTAACTTTTGTACTAAAAAATTTTTTTTATTGTAAAGTCGTTCAAAAATAGTATGGTCATAGTATTATTATCTTTATACCCCTAACAGGGTATATTAAGTTTGCCACGAAGTTTGTACCAGTCAGAAGGAAACGTATATATGTATGTATGTAAGTATATGTATAAGTTATCAGCGTGACAAGTTGAGCCGATTTAGCAACGTCAGTCTGTACATACGCGAACTAGTCTCTCAGTTATTGAGATATCGACCTGAAATTTCGCACACGTTCTTTTCTCCACAAGACTCTGCTCGTTGGTTGGAACCGCCGATAAAAGACCACTGTAGCATATAGCTGCCATACAAATTGTTCGAACAAAATCAGGCTCTTGCATAGAAAACTCTTTTATTTGACGAGATATCTTCACAGAATTTGCTTTGGAATATTGTTCAAGACAACTGTACAAGCTGCGAACAAATTACTGAAACCTTTGCCGTTGGATACAAATTCTTGGCTAGTTAGGTTTTCAGATTTAATTAAGTTGAAAAAAATAAAAAGACGTGTAAGTATTATTATCAATATAATACAATCAATTATTATCTTTATTATAGGAAATAAATTATATGTTTTTAGTAAATACTTTTCGCATACATTAATACAATAAAAATCGTTTGTATATGTGTAAATTTAAAGAAAAATTGTATAAAATCTGGAATGAATCTGCAGCAAAAGTTCAGATAACAATTACATATGTACATATGTATGTATAACAAACTATATAAAAAATACATCCATTGTTTTTAAAGCCCTGATTTTAAGTTAAAGGTGGTTAGCACTTTTATCGCTTATTTATTGTCCAGCAATCTGCAAAATAAGAAATCACACGAATAAAATACAATTAAATGACGATTTTCATTACTAAAATAACAACTTACAACAACAAGATGACCACCCTTATCACGTATGATGCCTGGTTCGCCGCCGGTCTGTATATCGATAACGCCGCCCTTGCCTTTAACAACATTGTGCTCCAAGCTGCCAAAATATATAATATAATATTAATATATTTACAGTTGTATATATATAAACGAAAAAGAAACTCACGAATCTCGACTAACGATGCTAAATATATTGGCCGTGCCGACAGTGTCCACGACTATGGTGCCGAACTCAACTATATGTGGTATTTCCAGTATTAAATCACCCTTATCTTTCTTCAACTCGAGTGGTATACGTATGACCAGTAGGCTGTCGCTATGATTTGTGACAACGAAATCAATTTTCTCCAATGGCAATCGATGTTTCTGCTTGTAGCTCTTACCATCCAAAACATAGAAGGCCTTGTTGCTAAGCAACACGAAACGTTCTCTCGGCTTGTAGCCGTGACGATCGTATTTTGTGCATGGCGATGCATATTTCAGGCTCTCATCATTCAACGAATTGGCAACAAAATTATTAATTTCTGCCGCATGTTCCTTGAGTATACGATCGTTTTGGAACCAATATGGCACACTGGCCAAATAGTTAGCCTTCTTGTCCTTGAACAGTTTCTCAGCAAGCACCTTCAACTCGAATTGGCGTTTGCGTTCGCTCGACAAACTTAAGCGATATTGGCGCGCCAAATGCAAACGGTGCAAGCGATGCAAATAGGTGGATGCCTCCTGACAGTGTACCGGTGAGGAAGGCCAACTTTGATCCAGAACCTTGGTGGGCAGTTGCTTGGCTAGACGCAAGAGCCACATACGTTTCATGTTCGCAATAAATTCGTCATTATAGCCATTCGGTGCGTCGTTGCGTGTAATGAAGCCTTTGATGAAAGCGCGTATCTTGGTGACCGCGTCACGTCGACGCTGCAGCGCTTGTATGGCCAAGTAACGACGGCAATATGATTGTAATGTGATGATTTGCTCACGTAATTTCAGGTATTTCCGACGTTGTACAAGTCCCTTCCAGCGTGATTGTATTATGGCAGCAATGTCGTGTTTCTTCACTTGGAAGGCATCTTCTGTGTCAAATAGTGTCTTGGGGAAGCGTATGAAAATTTTCGTCTCACCCAAACGATAATCGTCGGGTCCATAGTGCAGATCGTTGGCAAGTATGCGCACGCCTTCTTTAGCTGAGCCCTTG